ACTAGTTTTTTCAACTTTTTGAAAATTGTATTTATGTATTTTTTATTATTTTTGAAATAGACCAGAGAGAGAGAGAGAAAGAGAAGTGAGAAAGCAAGCCTCCAGGTCCAGAACTTGAGCCACGGCTGGCCACATGGGAGTCCAGTGTCCCAACCACCACACCACCTGCTGGTCCCTCTCCTACTAGTTTTAAGTGATCGCATTTATACCCTATTCCAAGCCCCACAAACATATGGGTCAATTTCCCAACTTGCCATTCTGTTTCACTGATTTTTCTCTCTGTTCCTATGTTAATGCCACACTGTTTTAATTATTATAACTTTACAGTAGAGTCTGTTTTCTGGAAGAATAAATCTTTCCTCTTTGTTACTGCCCAGTGCTCATTCTTTCTGGAATTGCTGCCCTACCCAGAAACTATGCCCACTCAGCAGGGCTTCCACCACTTCATGCCAGTCCCTTTTCTAAAGGTTGAATCTTGTTTTCCAAACTCTCAGCTGTTGTGGCTTTTACAATTTCTTTCCCACCATGCCAGTCCAGGTGCTCTCTGAGCTAAACGCAGATACTACTAGATAAAGAAAATTCCAGGGATGATCCACTAATGAAGGATAACATTTAGGAGAAGGATCGCTCCTTATATCAGGACAGAAGAGGTATAACAGTATTTTAATATAAAATCTCCCAGCTGCACTAAGAAGTTGGATCCAGCCTGTTGACAGAATAATTTTCCAAATTCTTAGTTTAGAAAAGCATTGATTCCTAAATTGAATTCCATTTATCCTCAAATATGAAAAGCCGTGCTTTAAGAAAATTCAATAAATGAACATTATAATTCACTCAAAGATAGGTTGTTAAGACTCTGACAGCATTTTAAAGGGTCTGCTTCCAGAATCTGACCCTTGCCCACGTTACCCTGTAACTCGAGGTCCATCCATAGCACCTGTCCTGCAACTCCTCAGCGAAAGGGACTGTCTCCAGCTCATCTGAATCAGTAAGTGACTTTCAGCTGAGTTACCGCACCTCCTAAATTAGCGTCGACTAAATGAATGAAGCTTTCCAGCCTCCGCTGCTGCTTCCTGGCTTGGACGCGCACCAAGGCTCTCACAGCTGTAAATCTCTCCTCGTGATTTCCGGAATCTCCCAGCTCCTGGCACCGTAAATGGAGTTCCCAGCCTGCGTGATGAGGTAGGTTTGGCCACTCCCTGCCCCTGGGGGA